TCACTTTCTTCTTTCTGCAATTTCTGCATTTATTTCCAATGAATTACATTTTGCAAATTGTGACAAATTTACTGATTTCTTGAGCATGATGAAATAGCCTTTCAAACACAGAATGACGAAAATTATTCTAAAATTGCATAATAATTTGGGACAGGAGAGATAGTCAGCCTAGAGAAATCGGTCAAATGTTGCTGTGTGTACTGCGCAGGTCTCGTTTCTTTTGATAGAGACTGCGGAGAAAAGTGTTGAAACTTCAAACTGAAGGAAATTATGGGAGAACAGATTCTTATTTTTAATGATGAAAATGTCAATTGCGAATTAATTTAGGACGCAGTGTATGATAACGAAGCAATGAAAAATATATTACCTCCTCAATTTATGAGCAACATTTAAATACTTCTTTGCTCCACGTTAGGAGAGAACGTTTCTACAGCTAAGAACAGCAACAGAACATTGAGCATCTGGAGCACAGCGGACGAACATTGGTAATAAGCTTACCACACATATCATAATAATCTTCATGACATCGCACCAGCTTGAATTAACGGAACCGATTCAGCAAGCAAGCAAGTCATGAAGATTGGTGATCAATCGCTAGTCATTAAGGTGACACAGATACAGAGTTTAATTGATACCTTCTGAGGTTTGGTGAGTCGGTGCTACAAGTTTATCTGACGTCACGACGTTCGAATATTATTTATTTGTACGTTTATATACTCGACAGAGATGCTGCACATTTCCCGTTATGCAATTCATTCTCTCATAAATTCAGCTTTTCTAAAACTCTGGACACTGTAAAGTAAAGTATGGCGTCACAGTTGAGGGAGTTATTTACTTCTACGTAAAGGATCTCCTCAGAACCTGCAGTCATGTAGACGTGGTAGCGGCATGGTAGTGACAGCAGCAGTTACGAGAACAGCTGCAACAATAGCAGCAGCCCCAGTACGACCAGCAACAGCACCAGCAACATCAGTAGCAGTAGCCGCAGCACCACCAGCAGTAGCAGCACCAGCAACAGCACCAGCAACACCAGCAGCAGCAGCACCAGCAGCAGTAGCACCACCAGCAGCAGCAGCACCAGCAGCAACAGCACCACTACCACCACCACCAGCACCAGCAGCAGCAGCACTAGCAGTAGCAGCAGCACTAGCAGCAGCAGCACCAGCCGCGGCAGCACCAGCAGCAGTAGCACCACCAGTAGCAGCAGCACCAACAGCAACAGCACCACTACCACCACCACCAGCACCAGCAGCAGCACTAGCAGTAGCAGCAGCACTAGCAGCAGCAGCACCAGCCGCAGCAGCACTAGCAGCACCAGCACCAGCCGCAGCCGCCCCAGCAGCAGCACCAGCAGCAGCACCACTAGCAGCAGCACCAGCAGCGTGCGAACGCACCCCCTGGACAGAGCGTGCAGGTAACGGGTTTGTCTGTTGCGCGTCGACCCCGCGGCCCCAATATACGGACGCCGCGCCGTTGCTCTATGAATGTCGGATTGCCACATAGCAGCCACAAGAGCTGACCAGGAAACCTAAAGCAGTTTAGTGATTCCGGATATTGGATATAATGGATGATTTAAATTTAAATGTATTAAATTTAGGTTTCTACTTTAGTTGAAGCCATGCAATGCACAAGAAGTGGCGTGCACATGTATACTAAGAGTGATGAGTGCGTATATATTTTCCCGCTGTTATGCAGCATTCGATCAAGCCATTACTGACATTACAAAGTAGAAGTCATTTGGTCTTTCAGCCCGTGAAATATCAAGCAATGTTTAAGTCACATCGTCATACAAGCGCCGGATTTAAATAAAAATCGCAACACTAACATTACGTGCCAAAACTCGTACACGGCTCGAAAACAACCGGGATTTAGAGGCAGGCCGCGAATTCCGGTTTGAATTTCGAGAGGTCATGTAAAAAACCTGCATGATCAGTGTCACAGTTTTGATTGTTCCAAAAGAACCAATCTTCAGTGAATGACCAGATTCGGCCTTCTCTTTAGACTAAAAAATCTTGTGCATATTTTCCGGTAGAAGAGAAATCCACGCGAGCTGCGCGTAGCATAAAGGAATTTGAAAAGCAGGTCAGGGGCCTGGCAGCGGCTTGCGAATTAATTTAGGACGGCTTGGGGTCGAGCCGAGCAGCCCAAGATGTAGGCGGATGAACTTTGTTTACTATAATTCATAATAATAATAAATCAACTTGTTGAGTATTTGAAGATAGGGAACAACATTACGAGATGTATAGTGAATAGTAAGCTTGTTAACTGAGCATGAAGGTTTATTCAAATTGAACCACTGGGAAATTAATAAATTCGAAAGTATAATGAAAATGTTACTTTTTTGGCAGTTTGTGAACAAATGTTGAACTGCGCCAATATCGAATCATCGCAAGGTTCGTTGGTTAAAAGTGCAGAATTGTATGTAGATCGCCGAACAATGAAGTCAAACATAATATTTGTTGATCAATGTGAAAATTACGCTCTGAAAACACAAATACTCTGAAATTTTATGATTTTTGAATGGATATTTTTTTAATTCGCTGATGATACACTTGTAGTAAATAGCAGATATTGAACCGGTTCAATGGTTGCAGCTAACTAAGATCCTCATGGCAAAAACTAAGATCCTGATGTCAACACGCGAGCTTCATGTCATAGTCAGCGTTCGAAGGGCAAGTGCACCTCCACGAACATCTTCGGTGTCAGTGTCTCTTTCATTAGCTTGTGCATCACAATTGATGCATCAACATAAATACGGCTTTCCTATCACTCTATCGCCATCTCCTTCATCGATATGAATTGTGTAAAAACTCAACTTCACCGTAACTCGAACTCTTGCATTACAGTTATGAGCTGCGGGTCTCTCCAGGGCAACCGCCATATGGACTCTCATTGAACTCCTTGGCAATCTGTTGACTCTGTGTAGAATTACAATCACCGAGAGTGATCGCGCTGCAGGTGAAGTGATACATGAAAATAGCTCATTAAGAGTTCTATTATGGATTAGAAAACTGTTATAAAAAGTTGGTTCATTGTCCTCTTTTCTTCATATTCAATGTATATATTTTCGAAAACTTTTCGAATAGATGTTTCGAATTTCTAATAGAAGTCGTTCGATTTAATGAATAGAAACTGTAAGAATTTTCTTCTATTTAACGTGATTAAAATGACTTAAATAGGTTACCAAACCCCCCCGCCCCCCCAAAAAATATTCAAATAAATTTTCCAAACTCCTGTTTTCATTTTTTAAAACTAGCCGTGACAGCATCAAGATATAGTCAGCATCGAAGCTTTGTAATAGATTGCGTCCTTTCACTACATAGCGAGTTTTAGCGACAGCCTAGCGTGAGGAGATATCAATGCATGCGGCCTCGAGGTAAACTTTCCATCACATTGCAATTCAGGGAGAGCACGACACGGTCACGTCAACGAGCAAGGGTGACATCACATCTGTATCATGGATACGAGCTGTAGTAACGCGTCACGGAGGAGGGGTGACATCACATCTGTATCATGGATACGAGCTGTAGTAACGCGTCACGGAGGAGGCGTGACATCACATCTGTAACGTAGAGAGAACACAGAGTTCACAGAATTTCTTGAATACATTGGACGTTCTCTTCCATTGAAAGATTGGTCTCCGCTTTGTATGTAAAATAAAGTCAATTATAGAACTACAAAAAACGAGTTCGAGTGATTAATAGAGAAGATGAAATCATCATTCGTAATATACAATTATTAGGACAAAAATTATTGATTGTGTCTAGCAGAAAGTAAGCAATACAGGCTCCCATTGAATCGCTTGATATATGCATTGAGCTCTGCTTTATTTTACAATATCGAATATACTTGAGTTGCTGTAGCGGTCCGACTGTAAACATGTTGCGGAAAAGCCTCAAAACAATGCCATTAGGGTCAATTTGGATGAGAGGCAAATTCGGTTCGCAGAAGAGAGCGATGAACCCCTGAATAACGTAGATCATTATTCAGGGTGCAATGAAGTCACTCACAATGTGCAAGCTCAGTAATAGAATAGAATAGAAGTGTCGGCGTTGAAGACATAGGCCCATGGCCTGTTGCCGATTCTTGAACTTTTCGTGACTTGATTCACAAGGGATCCGGCCTTTGGAACCCGATCTTTCCATAACTGACGATTGATTGAGATAGCTGCTGGACTTATTGCCTGCTCCGTAATTTGCTAGGCATTACGCTGTTTTTTTAGTTTATAGCCGTGGCCCCTGGTGTTGGTTCTTGTTTCAAATTCTAGTAATCCTTCTGGGACCTTGTATAAGCCATGAGTATATTTGTATACTTCAATGAGGTCCCCACGCAGACAACAACGCGCCACAAACATCCAGAGCACTTCACCACACCATCACCAAAACAACCACCACACCACACCATCACAACTAGCGCGCTGTGGTTGAATCGCAGTGGCCGTGTTTGTAGAGACAAGAGAAAGCCAGGCGGGCTGAGGTGGTCTGAACTTTTGTGTTGCTTCATGGAGAACTGCGACAAAAATGCTGACCGAGAGCAACACCGATGATTATTTTAACGTCCGCGAGAAAGTTCCTCAGGAAAATTTTATTGAGAGCCGTTGGATGTCGGTGAATACTCTACGGAAAATAATTGAGCGGAACAAAAGTGAATAGCTGAAATTCAAATATTAGTAATAAAATCTTGCAATATGAGCAAGAAAGAAGTAACAACACGAAGTCGAAAAATTGATTTCCTCGGTTCATTGTGAATATTTGAAGGATGTTTTAGATATTTAGTTTTGATGCCAGTTTCGACAATGGACTATTTAATTCTGAAACAATAACACGACAAAAACTAAATATTTACATCCACGAACAAATTTGCAAGTTAACTGTATTGAAAGTGAATTATAATATTATTTGTATACCATCCACTATATAATTAAAATTATAGAAGTAATAAACTTAGAAAACAATTGAAGTTCACATAAACGGTTATAGATGGAAAATCTTTGCACTCACCGTCTGGAGAATTTTGTGTTGATATTAAGACCGGAAGACAAGCGAGGTGAACCGCAAGCAGAAGCCACCAACTGCCGCGGCACAACACGTCGCACCTCATCTTCCTCAACAAATTCTGTCAGAAGGCCTGCTGCAGCTACACTTTCCTTTCATCCCTACAAACTGAAAACGAAGCGAATGGGACCCGGATTTTTTCCGCCTCTTAACACGTTACAATCTGTACTTTTTTTCAATCTCGGTTACTATTAGAAAACACGTATCGTAAAAAGTACGCAGTTCTCGAATACGAACAAATAAATCAGTTTTTCATCGAATAAAATTTGTGCTTTCGCTTTAAATAACACATTAATTTCACCGTATGATTTAACAAAGAAGAACACCGACTACTCAGCTCCACGAAGTGGAATGAGATCAGGGAACACAAGAGGATCCAGGTACGTGTGCAACCGCCTCAGAAACTTTCTCTCTTCGAGCCGCGCTCGACACAGACACACCTCTCACCCCGCGGACTTGAAAGCAACTAAAGCCGCAAGGCGGCGATCGCTGTGGCGCTGTTCGCTGGCATCCGAGTTAGCCAAGTCAGAGGCGATGGTCATAAAAAGAAACGAAGGAACTGCGCCAGATTACGCAGTGCAACAAGGAAAGACCAGCGCTGTGAAATGTCCAAACCTTTCCACAACACACCGGTACGGGTTATTCATTTTGGTTCCATAGTAGTCGTATAAACATTTTTCTTCATACATAAGCGGCATCACATATCAATCGGCAGTTAATGAGAAAGTAATGACAGCTTATAATAGCCACTTGCATTCATTGAAGCCTAGTTGCCAGTAAAATGAAGGCGATCACTCATAGCCTTTATTACAAGTACCTCTCAGGGGGGACTTCTGTCGCGTGTCTGTGCTCGTCAGAAGTTTTATGGGATTTCGCGCTCCTAGGGGGATTGTTCCTGAGCGCCCCACCGCTGAGCTCGCGGTGTCTGACTGCAGGTCTCAGTTGTGGGATTAAGTTATAATGTATGTAGAATTCCTTACATTTCCCTTCTGTCTCTCCCGTGCGGTTGGCCGACGTCCCGTGTAAGCGATCTCTTGTTCGAGTGCCTTCATTTCTGTTACTTTTCACCTGCCCCTCCATGTCACTTCGTCTCTTTGAGATGATAACATAACATAGTGATCTCGGCGCTGCAGTGTAGGCCTGATGTGGCCTGTCGCCGATTATTTTCCTTTTCGTGCCTTGTTCACAGATGATCTAAAATCGTATCATTTGACCGTATTTTTTCATGACTGACGAAAGTTTGAAATAGCTACTCGACTTCCACCGGGTTCGATATGGTGCTAGGCATTTCAAATCTGAACATATATTTTTCCATAGCTTTATCTTGTCTGTTCTTGAACGCGTTCATACTTGGAGCGCCAACGATGTCATCGAGGAGGCTGTTCCACATGTCGGTGATTCGAAGCGAGAAGAAATTTTGTCGCGTGGAGAAGTTGCAGCGTAGTTTTTTTAGTTTATAGCTGTGGCCCCTGGTATTGGTTCTTGTTTCAAATTCTAGTAATCCTTCAGTGACCTTGTATAAACCATGAGCATACTTGTATACTTCAATGAGGTCCCCACGCAGACGTCGATAACTGAGGCTTGGGAGCTTCATAATCTTCAATATTTCTTCATAGGACTTGCCCTTCAAGCCTGGAATTATCCTTGTTGCACGTCTTTGAACATTCTCTATTAAATTTCTGTCCTTTTCAAATCTCGGTGACCACACAACGTTTCCAAACTCTAGATTCGAGCGCACGACAGCAACAAACAACTGCTTCATTGCTTCTGCATCTAGGAACTCGTATGAGCGTCTGATTAACATTAAACCACAGCTGCACTAAGCTGTCAAGATCATCTTGCAATTGCGCTTTATTTGACACATTCTTTACTGAATTATAAACTTTTGTGTCGTCGGCATACATGGAGAGCACGTTGGACACTGCTTCTGGCAGATCGTTCATAAAAGCAACGAACAAAATAGGCCCAAGAACGCTTCCTTGTGGCACGCCACTGCGCACTGATGCCCAGTCTGACACGGTTCCGTTAATACTGACACGTTGTCGTCTACCTACTAGAACATCTCTGATCCTTCAGAGTACGTTTCCCTCAATTCCCAAAGACTTCACTTTACGTAACAGCCGCTCATGCGGAACACTGTCAAATACCTTGGCAAAATCGAGGTACAATGCATCCACTGGTTCCCTTTCGTCCAGCAGGCGAGTCCACTCGTTCAACGTAGATAATAAGTTAGTGGTGCAGGATAACGCTGCTTCCTTCGAGCCAGCTTCAGGGGGTTGGGCAATTGAGACCTTCCGACCCTTGTGGGTGATAAATAATTTGAGATTTTGAATGAGACCTTCCGCCTTGCTGGCGATGTTATATTTTGACCTTCGGTGCGAAATAGCTTGATAGCTGAAGCGCTAGCAAACCTTTATACTACTACTACTTATTACAATTAATGCACCTTTTGGATGGAAAGTATGTTCAACCGTGGATATCAAGTCACCAGTGAAAATATAGCAATAATGAAAGGTGAACAGAATTGTTTTCTGTTAAAAATAAAGCAAATTCGGGGAAACTGGTAATCTAACGATCTACGTAACACTGTCCTGCGCTGTCAAACACCAAAGCGTCTCAAATCCATAAAGAATCCGAAATTCGGTAATATTTTTGGGAGACTAGTCTCCTCATTCTCAAGAATCTGCAACTAGTAGACGCAATTATGGAAGCACGTCATATAAAAAGTGAGATTCTGCATGTCTAACATTTAATTCTATTCCTGCTCGAATCGCGGTTCTCATTTACGGGGTCATTCTTTTCAATTCGCAGTGACCAAGTTATATCTTCCCAACTACAGAGCACATTTCGATAAAATATTCAACCTAAACTCGTAAAGATATTAAACTCGTGGGATTTTCATTATTTCGCCTTAATTTACAAGTTATGGGGCTATACGAGAAGCTCATTGATGAACTAGAGGTTATTAACCACCCTGCAACTTCACCCATTTTGAACAGAATTGTCACAGGAACCTGTGCTCGAGCCGCAACTCACTGCTCCTATCCTGTAACTCAGAACAAATCCCTGGACCACACAACCAACCCATCCGGACACGCTGTAATTACCGTCATGAGGTTTGCACAACCTTCACAATTTAAGAATTTCTTTGTTAATAACATATTTTACCAGGGCGTACTTTTAAGTTAGGTAGCAATTACTAAAAAGTTAGTTCTCAACAGAAAATGCGATTCGCTAGTTACCTCAGAAGGATCTTGTTTCTTGAACATATCAACGTGGGAAATTAGCTAATAGACTTCACAAACTTGATAGCATTAAAGATATATTCGGCATTTTTATTGAGGCATCAATGTAAATAGTGTTGTTTGAACGCAAGGTGCCATATCACTTCGAAACTCATCAACAAAGCACGAACGGTCAGTGGAATGCTGCTATTCGGGTTTACTTTGTAAGACAAGCAGACAACTCGTTCCAAATCCAGGAATTCAATGTCCTCATCGGAGTGCTCGTGCGCAAGCAAGATGCTGCTTCACGCCAAATTTACCAAGTTTATTCGTCACTTCGTGGTAGTTTTAGATGGCCACAAAAAGGCGTTTTGGAAATTAACTTGTAAGTGCTTGCTCTTTCTTGCGTGGGCATAGAATCCATAGATAAATGCTCTGGTCGACATGATTGTCAAGAAAAATGAAGTATTTCACCTTAGCAAAAGTAGTTTCAAATTTATTCAAAAAAATAGTTTCCAATAACAAGTGCCGATACGTAAAAAAAATCTCATCTTCCGCTAACTTGGACAACAGGAGTCAACATTAGACTCAATGAACAAAATATGACAATATAAACTCTTTTGGATACGAAACATAATGTAAAAGTCGTGCACCAGTTCCAAACGCACGAGGAGCTGAATTTATGTCGAACATGGGCGTAATGCGAGAAAATTCGAGCTTTCGAGGCATATATTCCATCTGCCTTGGTAAAAATAAAATAAACATGACGGGCACGACGTGCAAAAATTAAGGTCTAGCCGTTATGATTTTTCTTCCGCTGATTACATCCGCCTCTCAAATGAAACTGACCTTTTAAAAATCAATAATTGGAAGAAAATTCAAGGCATATATTTCATCTGCCTTGATAAAAATAAAAGAAATATGACGGTCAGGACGTGAAAAAATGAAGGTCTAGCCGTTATGATTTTTCTTCCGCTGATTACATCCGCCTCTCAAATGAAACTGATCTTTTAAAAATCAATTATGCACCCAAAGCAAACTGAGATATTTGAAAAGATTGTCAAGGCTAAGCACAACTTCATATATATAACACACCTTGAATCCTATTTTTTAGGCCAGGCATGAGGCCACTCATTGACAGGTAGATACTCTTCTACGAGTGCGTTCAGGGAATGCCCCGAATCCTCAATAAGTCCTTGTTTCTTCATAAGGAATATGACGTCAGAGGGTTGAATAATACTATGATTGTTCACGGTTGCAACATCCTCCAAATCCGCTACGAGATTAGCAAAGAACGTTTCAGAAGCTTTGGCAGCCTCGTCAATGACAGCCTTACTATAGCGACGGTTGGAAAACCGACTGAACGCTTCACGATGATAAGCATATGGAAGAGTTTTCCACTCTTTGGGTTTACTCGGTTTTGCTTGTACGATTTTCTTCTTGGACGTGGTTTTAGGTTTGGCAGGAGTGGTGGTGGCCGCACATGCTTTCTGCCACACATCCTTAAACTGAGCTTCTGTTTCCCGCAGCGCATCTGCAGCTTCAGGAGCCTGGTAGTCTTTCCTTTCCAAAACCTTCAGGAATTCGTTCAGAGTCAATTGCTTTGTTGCAATTTTTTTCACTGGACTTGTGGGCTTGTCGGGCAATTTTTCAGAACTATTTTGTGAAATCTGTGAACTTCCCGCGACATTCTCACTAGAGGATGATCCGCTTTTCGATGGCGACTTTCGGACTAAGGTGGAAACAGCTGGCAGTGTTCCGGACCTAGGACTTGGAATGCGAGATCTCTTTGAATCCAAAAATGAACTTCCAGCTGCAGGCTCTTCGTCGATAATTTCGGGTGTTGTCTCATGTTCTGAGCTTCTATATGAAGTTTCATTCTCTTCAGGGGCGTCCAGGCCAACAACATCGATGTCTTCTTCATTCTCTGAACCTTCATTGGAAACTTCATCCGACCATTCATCTGCCAGTCTTCTGAGATAGCTATTGGCGACAGATTTTTTAGCACTCAAAGATGGACCTTTGCTAGTACTTGTCTCCATTCGATCGATATCAGTGAAACTTTGTAGAAGTGATCGACTTGACCGAGGATGCGACTCAACCTCACGCAACAAATTGGATGGTGGCGTCTCAGGAACAATTGTACCTTCATGAGAGTCAACATCAGAGCCATCATCTGGACCATCATTTGAGTCATCATTGGGACCCTTATCTGGGCTTACATCCGAAACTATCGCCTGTCCATCTGAGAATAACTTTGGCGAAGGTGACTTTTTATCAGAGTCACTTTCCTGATAAGCTTCTTGAATGAGAGCAGCGACATCTATTTTCGTCCTTGTGCGCGGTAATACTTTCAGATTCCGACGCTTAACTGCCTGAGCTGCCGTCACAAAACTCTGATCTGAATCAGAAAATTTGCTACTGTTGATCAGAGATTCGGATGCTTTTCTCTTCTTAGAAGCAGACGGAGGACTTGGACGATGATCGACAGTAGCTTCGCTGATGGGCTCTTGCTCCTCAATGCCAGATCGATTTCTTAAGGAAGATGACAGACTGTGACCCAATCTGGTAGGAGGAGCGACCGGTGACTTCCTTGCAGCGATGAAGTCAACTGCGGTATGAGGAGGAATGGAAGACTCGGCATGGCTGACTGCTATGTGGCTTGCAGCGATTTGGTCGTTTGGGTCTGGAGAAGAGACTGGAGAAAATAGGAGCGGTGAAGCGCTTGGAGAACGGCGCGATGAAGCGCCCGGAGAACGCCGTGGTAAAGCAGCAGGAAAAGAACTGCTAGTTGAAGCAGCTGGAGGGCCACGGCGTGAAGCGGATGGAGAAAATAGGAGCGGGGTAGGGGCTGGAAGAGCACGGTGCTGTGAAGCAGCTGGAGGAGAAGTTTGCGGTGAAGCAGCTCGATGAGAACGGCGCGTTGAAGCAGCTGCTGGAGCACGGTGTGGTGAAGCAGATTGAGCACGGTGAAGCGAAGCATGAGGAGAAGCATGGCGCAGTGAAGCACGTATTGGAGTATGACGCGGCGAAGTAGTAACAGGAGTACGGCGTGGTGAAGCAGCTGTAGGTGCACGGCGTGGTGAAGCAGCTGTAGGTGCACGGCGTGGTGAAGCAGCTGTAGGTGCACGGCGTGGTGAAGCAGCTGTAGGAGAACGGCGTGGTGAAGTAGATGGGGAACGACGGTGTGGTGAAGTATCTGGAGATGATGAAGATGAGAGTGCCAATTTCTCCAGCTCTAGTGTTTTGAGGCTCGTTCCAGAGCTTTTAAGCCGATCTCGTCGCTGCTTTACAGCTTCTATGTCAATACTATCATTAGAAGACACTTCTTCAACATCAACAGGATCATAACTCACTCCTTCATGTTCAGGCGCCGCTGTTCTTCCAAGAGATTCCAATCGACCATCATAGCTGTCAAAATCTTCTTTCACAAAATCAATCAAAGTCTTCTTTCGCGTTTGCTTACCAGCTGCTAAAATTTTTGTGCGCCGTCTCCTGATGTCATCCAAATTTACACTGTCTATTGATGAATCAGAGTCCACAACTCCATAAGTTAAATCGACAGGTAATGTAATGTTTCTTGATTCCGTGTTACGAGGAGGGTGATCACTTGTCACTGGTTGGGACGAAGGTAGTTTCTTTCTTAGTATGTTTCTAAATCGTCTTCGTTTGGTAATTTTTTCCAATTCCGCCTCCAGAGTTTTATCAGTGGAAGACTCGAATTCATTAACTTCAGCATAGGTCATATCTGCAAAGGTCATGTCCACGATTTTGCCTCTTCTGGGAATTGGTGGTTTTGCAGAAATACCTCGACGCTTTCGTTTGAGTGTTTCTTTCAGAGTATCAATACTTACATCACTTGAAGTGGATATTTCTGCAACATTTCCATATGTTAGATCTATGCCAACACTCTGATTCATATCCTTTGTTGTATCCAGTTTTTGCCTTAAATAATTGGTTTCTTTGTTTACGCCAATTGAAGATCGACGCTTCAGAAGCTGTTTGCGCAAATCAGGAGTACCTGAAGAGCAATAAAAACAATAATTAGTAAAAGTATAAAGTCATAAAACATTTTCCAAATGACATAAGGTTTATGGAACTACATATAGAGCGTAATTTGACAGCATCTACAGTAAGAAATTACTCAAATTAATGCAATTATATGACCTAATTGCAATACATTTTGGTTTTATTATCACAACAAGTGCATTGCTATTTGGATAATGTCTCACTCATTTATCCAAATACACTCAAAATACTTTGAGATGGCTAAAAATCGCGGTAACATGTGCATGATTCGAGTTCTCATGACAGAAAGGTTTGTCATAGGAGCTTGTTTACATCGAACGGCGCTAAGCTCGATGTGCGGAACATAAAAATATTGTGGAAAAAGTAATGCCTGTGTAGGGCACAGACCAAACCGCACATGGCAGCTGGGTGAATAAACAGCCAAATTTGCGACAGAGAGATTCTTAGGATAAACTGGTCACGCAAGCACTATCTGCAGCACTGACAACATTGGAGATGGTCACAAGTCATTGATACAGCCAATTAAGACTCCTAAATGCGATCAACAATCTACATGTAATGGTCACAACTTTAACTATTTATGTACGGCCAACATCAACACTACGGCCGTGACTCGAACAGGAGACATCAAGATAAGCAATGAAACGCATTGGGGCGTTAAGACGTATTGCGGCTGGCATCAATAACATAATTCAATTAACAAGCAATACCCAACAATTATCGTTCGAGAGTATGGTCACAACAGCTGCAGTACAGCCTTCTAACAGGAAGCAGCATCATACAAGTGTGCAGACTCTGCGTTAACATTCAGAAGTAGGCACAACAGCCAATAACTCTAAGGTTAAGCCATGCACTCAAGTAGCCACATTAAATTGCTGCAATAGAGAGCCTTTGTCCAAATGCACCTATCAACTGTTTAAAGATAAAGAAATAAAATAAATAATATAAATAAATAAAATAATTTTTTATTGAAGAAATAAATAAAATATCAATATTAACAAATCTCAAAAACTAATTCATATATGACATTTGATATCATTGGTATAAGTTTTACTTTCTAATGATAGCTTAGGGACTCAAAAAAGCTTAATTTGAAGGCCATGCAATATATGAGCAATAGCAAGTAGAGATCTGAACATGCACCAATGACGATGTTATGCCTGGACAAAATATCTCAGTTTTAACAATTTTAATAGTTAATCATTTAAAATTTCAACATTGTCAATTAAGATAAAACAAATAAATACTTAGAGAGAAAACTACAGCTTGCAAAAACTATATAATTTTTAAACAGAAAGCCTTCTTACTGAGGAATTCATTGAAGAAAAATGATAGTGATTATCACAACTACACAATCAAAATACATGAAGATCTAGCAATATTTTTAACAGTAAAGAAGACATTCAGATTCATAACTTAGCCAAACCCTTATATACATCATCTTTCAGCATATAATACAAATTAACTCAGAATTTGAAAAAAAAAAACTTTATGTACATATACATCTTCATTGAAAACATTTCAGATATATTTTTCTGGATATATTCATATATATAGCTCTAATATCAGTTCAAAATGTTAGACAATACAAGTAAAATCAAAAGTAAAAGCTAAATCTTATTCAAATGATCTAAGGTAAGCACCAGCAGCAGCAGCAGCAGCAGCACCAGCAGCAGCAGCAGCAGCAGCAGTAGTAGGATCCTCTAGAGCAGGGTGAGCTTGACTGGTTTTCTTGAATACTTTTGGTGTGCTGACAGGCGTAGCAACATCCATGTAGGCCTGCAGGGCACTTCTTGGTGTCATCAGAGACGTATCATCCATGGCTACAGTCCTGAAAATGTGACATTCATTAAACACTTATTATGAATTAGCTGCATGCAAAGAACTTAACATGTTTGCAATGAAAAGCTATTTTGAATTTATTTGTGAATTGCAGTTTATATTCTTAATGTTTTGAAATATACTTAAATAATAAATGCCTCAAGACCGACTTTTCTGTTATTTCTGGTCTCACTTTGCAACAAAAGCAAAACAATTTGGCAGATTTTTTGAGCCTAATTTAATGAGAACCAAATTACTGCCTGTAACCAGTACCTTCAACATTAGTGGTGCAAGTCTAGCACCAATGTTTCTACACAGAATTACCAATAATGTTTATTTAGTAGTACCATCAAATGGGGTAATAAAAAATGGGCGCGATAAATCGGGACAAAATTTCAGCACAAAATTTCACTTAATGAAAAATTAATGCATCATAAGTCATCATGAAATTGTGCATTGGGCAACATAGAATGAAAAGTAATTAACCTAAACTATGATTTATTTCTCTAAAAAATATTATGGTTGTCACTAAAATATTTCTTTCTGTTTCAGGTATGTTTTTGCAATCTTTTTTTGTTATATATAACACAACATAACATAAGATAATCATATAGGATGCATAACAACACAACATAATATAACAGGATACATAATAACACAACATACTATAACAGAACACATTTTAGCACATCATAACATAAGACAACGCATAAAACACAACATAAACCATTATAATAAGGTCAGTACAGAACTCATTATTACACTACATAAGGTAAAAAATATCACACATTATAATATGGCACAGTATAACATAACACATTATAACACACCACAACACTTATAACAAATCCCAATATAAACCAACGCATCATAACACAGCATAATCTGTTGTTATTTTATGTTCTGTTAAGTTATTTTCTGTGCTGTATTATGTTGTGTTGTAATGTGTTCTTATAATGTGTCCTGTAATACGATCTTATGTTATGTTGTGTTACAATTTTTTATATCATATGTTGTGTTATAATGTCTTGTTATGATATGTTGTGTTACATTATGATGTGTTATGTGGTTACAATGTGATCTTTCATGTTATGTTGTGTTATAACATGTAATATTACATTTTGTTAAAATATATTCTGTTTTGTTATAATGTGTAGTATTGTGTTATGTGTTGTGTTCTTATATTGTGTTTTATGCCTCATTGATCATAATGCGCATGCATCACTTCATCATCAGGGATTGGTTACATTGATCATAAAGCACATGCATCACTGTTCTTATATTGTGTTTTATGCCTCATTGATCATAATGCGCATGCATCACTGTTTATCATCAGGGATATTGTGTGTTCTTATATTGTGTTTTATGCCTCATTGATCATAATGCACGTGCATCACTGTTCATCATCAGGGATTGGTTACATTGATCATAAAGCACGAGCGTCAGAATTGATCATTATGCAATGGCCACATTGATAGTAAAATTTCTTGCATCCGTGTCCATCATCAGGCATCGACTACATTGCTCAAAAAGTGGGTATGTAAGCATTGATCATCAGGCATTAGCCGCATTGATTGCAAAGCACGTGCGTTGGAATCGATAATTGGTCATTGGCCACACCGATCGTAGAATGCTTGCATTCATGTCAATCATGCCGCATTATTCTTGAATCATGAACGTAGGAATTGATCATGGGGCATTGGCCACATTGATCATAAAATGCTTGCATCCATGTCAATCATTTTACATCAATCGCGAAGCAAGAGTGTTGGCCAAATCGATCTTAAAATGCATACATCAGTATTGATCATGGCCGCATTGTTTGCATATCGTAAGCATCGGAATCAATCATTGGGCATTGTCACATCAATCGTAGAATGCTTGCATTCATGTCAATCATGCTGCATTGCTATTAAATCGTGAACATTGGAATCAATCATGGGGCATCAGCCTCATCGATCATAAAATGCGTGCATCCATAACAATCATGCTGCATCGATTGCAAATCTTGAATGTCAGAATCAATCAAGGGGCATCGGCCACAGTGATCGTGAAATGCATGCATCCATATCAATCATGCCGCATCATTCTCAAAGCGTGAGCATTGGAATCAATCATTGGACATTGGTCACATCAATCAATGAATGCTTGCATTCATGTCAATCATGCTTTGTTCTTGAATCGTGAATGTCGGAATTGATCTTGAGGCATTGGCCACATCAATTGTAAAATGCGTGCATCCATGTCAATCATGCCGCATCAATCGTGAAGCAAGAGCGTTGGCCACATCAATCATAAAATGTGTGCATCCATATCAATCATGCCGCATCATTCGCAAAGCATGAGCATCAGAATTGATCATTGGGCATCTGCCACATTGATCGTTCACGTGTGTCCATGTAAATCATGCCGCATCATTCAAGCAAGAGCGTCAGCCACATCGATCATGCCCCATCGTTTGCAAAGTGTGAGCGTCGGAATCGATAATTGGGCATTGGCCACATCGATTGTAGAATGCTTGCATTCATGTCAATCTTGCCACATTGTTCACGAATTGTGACCATCAGTATCTATCATGGGGCATCAGCCACATTATTCACAAAATACGTGCATCCATGTCAATCATGCCGCATCGTTCGTGAAGCACAAGCATCAGAATTGATCATTGGGCATCAGCCACATTGATCATAAAAATCCTGCATCCATGTCAATCATGCTGCATCGATCACAAAGCAAGAGCGTCGGCCACATTGATCATAAAATTCGACAATCAAACTGCATTGTTCGTGAAGCATGAGCATCAGAATCTATTGGGCATTGGCCACATCAATCATAAAATGTGCGCTTCCATGGCAATCATGCAGCATCGTTCACAAAGCATGAGGGTTGGAATTGATCATTGGGTATCTGCCCCATCGATCATTCAATGCAAGAGCGTCGGCCACATCGGCCACATTGATCATGCCGCATTGTTTGCAAAGCGTGAGCGTTGGAATCAATAATTGGGCATTGGCCACATTGATTGTAGAATGCTTGCATCCATGTCAATCTTGCCGCATTGTTCGCGAATTGTGACCATCAGTATCTATCATGGGGCTACAGCCACATTGTTCACAAAATGTGTGCATCCATGTCAATCATGTCGCATTGTTCGTAAAGCACGAACGTCAGAATTGATCATTGGGTATCCGCCACATCAATCATAAAATTCCTGCATCCATGTCAATCATACCGCATCGATCACAAAGCAAGAGCGTCAGAATTGATCATTGGGCATCTGCCCCATCGATAGTTCAATGCATGCGTCCATGTAAATCATGCGGCATCGTTCAAGCAAGAGCGTCGGCCACATCGATTGTGCCGCATCGTTTGTAAAGCGTGAGCATTGGAATCGATAATTGGGCATTGGCCACATTGATTGTAGAATGCTTGGATCCATGTCAATCTTGCCACATCATTCGCAAATCGTGACCGTCAGTATCGATCATGGGGCATCAGCCACATTGATTGCAAAATGCGTGCATCCATTTCAATCATGCCGCATCGAAGCAAAGCACAAGCGTCAGAATTGATCATTGGGCATCAGCCACATTGATCATAAAATTCGTGCATCCATGTCATTCATGACGCATTGTTTGCAAAGCGTGAGCGTCGAAATCGATCACTGGGCATCGTCCACATCGATCGCAGAATGCTTGCATCCATGTCAATCTTGCCGTATTGTTCACGAATCATGAATATTGGAATCGATAATGGGGCATCGGCCACATCAATTGTAAAATGAGTGCATCCATGTCAATCATACCACATCATTCACAAAGCGCGAGCATCAGAATCAATTATTGGGCATCAGCCTAATCAATCGTAAAATGCGTGCATCTGTGTTGATCATGCCGCATCGATCGCGAAGCGCAAGCATCAGAATCAACCATTGGGCATCAGCCACATTGATCGTAAAATGCGTGCATCCATGTCAATCATGCCGCATCATTCGTGAAGCATGAGTGTCGGCCACATCAATCATGATTCATGAAATGTGTGCATCCATGTTGGTCATTGATCGTAGAGCGCGGGCATCTATGTCAATCATTGAGAAACAGCCGCATTTATTGTGCAAGTGCGCGTGTCAGTATTGATCATTAGGCATCAGGCAGCCTGGCAGAGGTGAACTTTCGTATTACTGGCAAACATACTGGCAACTTTCTTCACTGGCAAACTGGTGTACATCCCAAAATAAACTTCCGGCACCCACGCATCAACTTCCAGACCACGGGCAATCAATTTTGGCATCCTCGCTGTCCGTTCGCAGCAAACATCGGAGTCAACCATCCGTTTAGATGGTGCCTTGGCATCTTTAGGATAGAATAATGGCATCCTCGACCTATGTTGTGCCATACTCTACAGACTGGCTTGGCAAGCCGTGACTGAATTTTGTAAGCCATGGTTTTATGGATTTGCCAGCTGTGATTCCATTTCTTCAATCCATGATTCCATTTTTTCAAGCAGTGAATTCCATATCTTGGCAATAAAAATTCATTTACAAAGAGCAAATTTATTTACAAGTCCATGCACGTGTTACTCCAATTCTCTAATTTTACCCAAAAACAGTCAAATGGCAACAATAACATTTGTCTTTACTCAGTTTACTGTAAGCTGAACACATGTTAAAGCATTCTGACAAGTTGACAACTGACATGACCACAACTATGCGCGATATTTAACAAAACATTTAGGTTGACTTGTTTACATTACAATGATTATGTTCTGCAGGATATTTTGGTGGGAACGGTAAAGTAATACAGATTGAATCATTGCAGAAGTGGAAAATTTCATGAAATGACATGTTTGCAAAGTGCAAAGCATGATTTTTTTCAAGCAAACAAAAATTTATGACATTCAAGCCACAAGATTTCATACATACTGAAATTATATGATATTAGAGCCACAATATTTCAGAAAAAATAGGACTTTTCCAGCTGTGAGCACACTATAATAAAAGCAGGCTGGCAG